GAGAATTGAGCAGTGTTTCTTGAGCCCTACGCTCTATGTGGAGCCTAATCATCACTTATGTAGAATTTTCATCCATACGGGACCGATTTTTGAAGAAAGGTTTTGTCGAACATACGAATGAAGCTGTCGCACCGTTTCAGTTGACGCTCTCTCGTTTTCGCTGCCTTTTACGTTCGTCCGAGATGCACAAAGCACTGACAGTCATTGCTTCCATCGACGTAAAAGGTATAAAAGTGAACTGGGTTTCAGGAAGCATGATGGTGTTTTGGATAATAGTCAGCGATTACTTCATTTATCATGCAAATCAATCAATTCTCTCCATCTCCCTTGCTATTGACATACGCCAAATAGCATGTTCAAAAGCTCAACATAACCGGCAAATTCAGAGTGGGATACTACTGAGAAGATATGCATCAAACATGAAACTTCATTATTTTGGAACTCCCTATGTAGCTGTATCAGCCCGAAGAAGTTCCAAGCTTTGTTCACTACCGTATTTCCCCAATGTCACAATGTAAATATTCAGTGAATTCATTGATTCGCAATCACAGCGCATAATTGTTCAATACTGAATGCTCTTTGTCTACTTGGTAATAAATGCTGGGTGATCAAAAAATCCATTGTTTGAGGGACTTAAAATAAGTTTGTTAAGTGGTGCGGTCGCAATTTTTAAAGCAACTTTTAGACCTCAGCATGCTTTTTTCAAGTTTCATTCAGTGAAACCAAATTCTACGACCAATTCAATATAAATGTTTCAATACAGATAAGCCATGACAGATTAGGGGACAGACCGTCCTAGTTGTGCGAAAGAATTAAGCTTAGAAACGCCTCGACTAGCCCCAGGAGGACGAAACACATTGATAGAAAAGTGATGTAGCAACGGGAATCAGACAACTCGGTACGAGACCGATTTATTGAACTGTAATAAATAATGCGAACTTACTTGTAGATTACGCTTCTCAACACTACACGTGGCAATCATTGAGGTCAAACAATTACCGCCCAAACTATCACGAAGCACCATAGTCATCATGCTATTGCGATAGGGGACGTGAGTACGTTGCTTATCGGACAGGGCCACGATGACCTAAAAGGGCAACGGTAACAGAAAAAGACAAACTGATGCTGTCTCCTAGAAGGGAATTCGATATGTACCTTACATGAAAACGCATGTAATCTGACTTCCTGTTTACAGGTTCCCTACAGCACTATCATCAAATCTTGATCCTTCAAGTTTTGACAATTATACTCACAAAAAATGGCGTATTAACAGTCGGAATTTCCAGTGAACATTCTTCTGTGACTGGGATTACAATTGGGAAATTTCGATTCAGTTTACCAATATTTTTTCGATTGCCTGTTTGAGATATTTTAGCTTGCAGCTCAAGGATTTAGGCACTTAAAGGTTGAAAGCAAACCAGAAAGTGGTCAGCAAATGTAGTAGTAGTGACAGTAGTAGTAGGAGGAGTAGTAGCAGTAGTAGTAGTAGTGTTATAATTCCACAAGACGGTGCTGACCGGCAATAGCCCTTTATTGAGGATTGCAGGTGGGATTTCACCATACATCTCATCAGAAACATACCATCGCCGTTCCTGGTGGCACATCGAATAATGTATAGGGCAGTCGGTAGTTATTCTTTAAGACACCACTTGGCCCTCAGTGGTCTTGTTATATTTTTGATCAGTGAAAGTTACCTACTACTCACTTGTGAGTAGTATCTCACAACAGTAGTAGTAGTAGTGATATTAGTGGTAGTGTGGGTAGTAGTGTGAGATACTACTCACTAGACCCTGATCAAACATGCTCCTGGAAAAATTGAATACAGCTGTGAAAACAGTCGGGGGTTACCAGCTGAAGGTAGACGGAGTAGCCAAGCAAGCAGTCCGTGTTGGAAATAGTATAATGAAGCACCCATTTGTCATAAAAAAAATACACGAACCAGAGTATAGTGGGGGCAGACATCTTGCGCAGCTTAAGGGCCGTGGTTGATCTAAACAACGAACAGCTTGTTACCGAATTCGGCACAATCAAGTTGTTACGCTCGAAAAGGAAGAGGTTGTCAGCCGTAAGCACAGAAACAACTCACACGAATGTGTCGCCGTTATTTCGACGATTGGTGCAACAATACTGCCATGTGTTTACAGGCGATGGCCAGTACGGATTCTGTAAATGGGTCGAACACGAAATTCCAATAAAGGCAGGAAAATTTCGAGCCCGTTTCACGCCGAATTCCACTGAACTTGAAGGGTGAACTCAAGCGACAGGTTGAACAAATGTTGAAGGAAGTAATCACTGAAGAAACTCGAAGTCCATATAACTCGCCCGTGCTGCCAGTCAAAAATCTCAACTGCAAATTTCGGTTCTGTATGGATTTCCGCCATGTAAACAATGTGACTGTAAACAAACCAGTCCCAGTACCAACTGTGGCAGAAATGTTTGGCCAACTGCAAACCGCGAAAGTGTTTTCATTTGTGGCCCTACGATCGGGATATTGGCAAGTACCAATAAAGAAAACCGACCGAGGGAAAACGGCGTTCACAGGCGGCAATAAACAATATCAGTTCAAAAGAATGCCATGCGAATTATCAGGAGCACCATCTACATTCCACCTCTTGATGCTGAAGTTACTCGATGGTATCCCCAACGTGGTGGTGTATGGTGAAGACATTGTTGTCTGCAGTCAAACAACAACCGAACACCTTCCACTTGGAAACGGTCTTCAAACGAATCAAAGAATCTGGCCTCCGGATTAACGGATCGAAGTCCCAAATTGGGAAGCAGACAGTGATTTAACTTGGACACAAGGTTGGAAACGGAGAAGTGAGACCACTTCCTGAGAATATCCTCAAGTTAAAAGAGTTTGCACGCCCAACATCGAAAAGAACATTAAGACGGTTTTTGGGCTGTGCCGCATACTATAGATGGTTCGTCAAAACCTTTACGAATATCGCTGAACTGTTATACGCCTTGCTCAAGAAAGAATATCGCCTTCGATGGACACCAGAGGCCCAGTAAGCTTTCGATGAACTCCAAAGGATCATGACCTCATCAAAGAAAGTCATGAACTTGCCCACACTGGATGCGCTTAAACCTACGATGTGCTTCGACAACGGGCATATTAGCCAAATATGCAGGCTGATGTAACAAACCAGGTGCTGGTGTGTGAAAAATGCCAACTTTTCAAGTCAGACTCCCGTCTATCACAATGTCCAGTTCATTCAATACCAGTATACCAGATCAGCGGGGTTATGGTCCATCAACCTTATGGGTCCATTTCCGATGTCCCCTAGAGGACACCAATACATCGTTGTAATGACGGAGCATTTCACACGCTGGACTGAAGCCGTAGGAGTAGCGGATCAAAACGTCGTTACGATAAGCCGGGTTATGATGGAACGTATCGTGGCGAATCATGATGCACCAAAAGCCGTCCTTACGGATCAAGGCCCGT